ATGGAAGCCACAAAGCCCGACAAAATATTACAAACATTTTTATTTTTAAAAAATCAGCAAATATTATCAGTCATTCTATCGTGGATGTCATGCTCAATTCGTTTTTTTCTTGGGCAGTGGCCGCGGAAGATGATTTTTACCGTGGGGAAATACTTATCAAAAAAAAGTCGAGAAAAGTTGAATAAATTGACCTAAGCTAAAAACAAGCTTTAAAACTACGTACAATAAACACTATGCCGGCTTAATCATTTTCTCAAAACAATTATCTTGGCTAACACGGGAACCTTAAGTACTGTCCACTAGCGATTTTCTTCCAGATAGTCTTTATTGATAGATAATTTAGTGTAGTTTAAACTTTTTCATAGAACACGCGTTGTAAAATCGCGTTTTGGCAAGATATTTAGCGGAAGCCGCAATTTTATGCTGATCACGATCACACCAAAATGATGCAAAAACTGACAAATCTTATTGAACATTGCGAAAACCTGTAAATTTTACAAAATTGTAATCTTTTTGTTTTATTCGAGATTGAAACTAAATCCAAAATGTGCGGCAAAAAAAGAAAAGAAAAATTTTCCTTATTATAAAAAAAATTCGCGAAAATTTCAAGAAACTGGAATTCATAACGTGTCTCGAGAAAAAGTTAAAATTATCAATACGGAACTACTTATTTTAAACGTTGTCCAACATTGTTTGCTTCATTGATTTTTGCAAATTACGAAAACAATTAAAGATTTGTACCGTCAGTTTAACAAGGCTCGACGCACACCTAATGGGTATGGTCGTATGGCTAAAAAGCCTACAAATTTTAGACTAAAATCTTTCAAGAGTTGGTTTATGCACAAACTTGAAAATACAAATTTCTAAAAATTCTTCATCATCTGAAAACATTAACAAAGCAAACAATTTCGAAAAATATTCAAAAGAGACCCGTATTGGTTTGTAATTTTGTCGTTTTCTCTTGAAAAATTATGATTTCCAATTCCTGAAAGTTTTCTCAGAAAGTTTTCGCATCAGAATACAATATTACTTTGCTAAAATCGTTTCTCGCAGTGCGTGAAAAACGCTAAATGTTTAAATTTCAAATCAAACGAAGATTTCGGAACTTTGCAATTTCCCAAAAAAATTGCAGTTTTTTTAAATCCCTTTGCGCAAATTCTTGATCAGCATCGAACTACAGACATATTGGTATATATGGTTTGCCTACTAAATCGGCGGACTGCACTAAATTAAATTAATTCGGTAAGAAAACGAGCGAATAATTTAATTCTCTTTATGTCGTCGTAAGCAGTAACTAATGTACCCTCAATAATTGCATAACAATAATATGACCAATCGTTTGGAACAAAATGACATGAGTCGAAGATTAGGAATTCGTAACTCGAATTTTTCACTGCTAGGAAAATGTCGCCGGTTTTTTAAAGAAAAGGGTCTGGCAATTTTTTTCACGTGAATATCGCCCAAAATCAACTATTTGTGGTATATTGCAAAGGTATGAGGTAACAAAAACTGCATCTATCAAAAAAATTCCCCGACGACTGGTGTCTCAGTCATCTCCGAAAAACATGAATGCTATTGAACGCCTGCACAAACAGAAGCCATCCACTCCTCACTGCACCGTTTCCTGAAAACTCAAACTGTGTCCCACCACGGTGTAGGAAATTAAAGCAGAATAATTACTGATAATATTTTATAAGAAACAGAAGCATACAAAATACCTTAGCATAAAAATTCTAGTGCCAAACCACGACTATGAAAAATTTTTCAGAAAGTTAGATCGAGATTTTTGATAATTTGCAACGAAAGATTTTTCACATCCGATACATTTCATATACCCATTTCACAATTTTTCTATGCAAATATTCGCAATTAAATAAAATATGAAGAAAGAAGGATTAAAAAAGAAAGATTCTTCACGAAACGCTTGGTTTGGTGGGCCATAGTCGAAAATGGACACATTTCTGAGCCCCGTGTATCAGATGGAACTGTGAGCTCAGGAGAGTATCTGGATTCGTGCATTAAACGGCGTCTGATTCCCTTCATTTATGGGCATTATGGGCAAGGAATTTCGTTTTCGCGGGTAATGGCAACTTGCATCTGGCGGAGAATTGTTATAAGACCGAATGTGGCGGAAAAAGTTGATTTTTGACCTGTGAAGTACAATGCTTCAAATTTTTTGGAAGCGAGAGGAATTGAACGAATTCGAGCTTTATCCAAACAAGTGTATTCACGACGATAAAAATCAGCCAAGAACATGACGGGATTCAGTAGCATTATGGGTCAAATCATCAATAGTATCTATGTCCGCAAAGTCGGGAAAACGGGTCCCGGACAGTGCTTGGATAATGCTACGAGAAATCTGCTTCAAAGAAGAGGATGGAGGAAATGGTTTTTAACCAGACTTGGTCAATGTATCAGCTATCGTTACTAATCAAACTTTCTTAATTTAATGTCACAAGAGACTCAATAAATCCAAAAATCCATAGTCCGGTTATATAGTAGGCAAACCATAATTTGTCCATATTCTATAAAGAGTGAAAATAATTAAAAACGGAATCTGGCCGGACAGAAAAAAACTGATCTGGATAAGATTATCAGCGTTTATATAGTAGAGTTTTACGAGTTTAACGGCGACAACCCCGTCGTCGAAACCTTGATCGCCATATTGCGACATGTCGACAACCCTGAAAAACATGTTTTCCCCAAATTTCATGCATATCGACCGCAAAATGCCGAAATTAGGGCATGGCGACAAAATTTGTCGTCGAAACCTTGATCGCCATATTGCGACATGTCGACAACCCTGAAAAACATGTTTTCCCCAAATTTCATGCATATCGACCGCAAAATGCCGAAATTAGGGCATGGCGACAAGATTTGTCGTCGAAACCTTGATCGCCATATTGCGACATGAAGACACCACCGAAAAACATGTTTTGTCCAAATTTCATGCCAATCGCCCAAAAAATGCCGAAATTAGGCCATGGCGACAGAATTTGGCGAAAAAAGTGTCGAAACCTTAGTCGCCATATTGCGACATGTCGACAACACCGAAAAACATGTTTTGCCCAAATTTCATGCCAATCGCTCAAAAAAAGCAGAAATTAGGCCATGGCGACGTTTTTCGACATGATGTCGACAAAGTGGTCACACCCCCTTAATAGGGTGTCACCCCATAGCCGTGAAGAACATTTGTTAAAAATTTCAGATCGCTGAGACAAGCCGTTCTCGAGTTTTAGTGTTGACGGACGGACAGACGGACGGACGTACGGACGGACAGACTAACTAACCGATCGCATAAAGTAGCTTGCGCTACTTAATAAACAAATAGTGACTGTCGGTTGGTCAGATTTATGTGATTTGTTTCATATGTTGGACAAACCAGTAAGGTACAAAGTACAATTTATCTCTCTGTGTGTGTATATACATATAAGACATATGTATATATACAATGATAAGGCGAAATTTTCGCGAATTTTGTGCGAATTGTTTGCCAATTTTGAGATATTTAATTTGTGACCAAAAATCGTTGAAGTTTGGTCGAATAGGAGTGGAAAAAATTCAAAGAATTATTTTGAACTAGTATTTGCTACTTGTGTCCATTGTGGACACAAGTTTCGCAAATTGGCATATTTGGAAAAATAACTGCAATTTCTCTTTTAGTTATCCACGATGGAAATCTGAAATTTAGGTAGCGTCAAATTCGTGCTGTGAAATTATTTTGATTGAAGTTTATACGGGAATATTTAAAGTGCCATAAATACGCATGTTGTCTTTTGGTAATGAATTTTGCTAAATTTGTTAGCAATAGGTAAGGTTGTTAATCCGGGGTCGACTTGTGATTTATACTTTGCACATGCCACGAACATGGGAGGGCATTATTGGGGGTTGTCCCATTCCAGTATATATCTATGGAATGGATGTTCATATTAAAGACAATTTTTGTAACTTGCCAATTTTGAAATTGGAAAACTTTGTTATTTATTAAATTCAATTTTTGTCCATAGCCGTTGCTCCATTTTGAAAATTGGTAAACCTAAGTTAGGTCAATTTGGAAGTTTACAATTTGAACAAAAATTGTCCTTCATTTTTGTGGCCATACCATAGGCGAGGAGCTTATTAGGGTGTGAGGTTTTAATATTTCTGTGAGAGGATTTCCCCATGGTTCTGCGGTCCCTGATAGCATGCAGGTAAAGTGAGAGGATATATTTATTTAATGGTCTCCCTAAGCTAAATATGTACCAAGATTTTAATTTGGACGAGTTAGCCTGGCTATGTATTAATAAGATAGCTATGCCAAAGGTTGATTTATGTATTGTTGGCTTAAATTTATCATGGGTTAACTGTAAACTAATATATGTACATTTGTAATGTATATTACAAGAGTCTCACGGTTTTACATGTTACATAATTCGCCGAAATTTGTGTACAACTTTTGAAGCAAAGAAGTTTCTAAATTTTGCAAAATTGATATTATAAAGTAATAGATATCGTACGTTCGTGTGATAAAGTGTATAAATTTTCGGAAATTGGAATTTTAGTAAATTTGTTTTCTTACAAAAATGAGATATACAGGTATTTTGCAATTAAAGCACAACATAGGCCATTAAATATGGGATGGGGGGTGCTCATTATGTTAAATATTTTTTTATGTAGCAGAGCAACCTAGGTTTTTAAATAATTGAACTCCATCCTCAGCAAATTTTTAATTTAAATTAAATTGCAATTAGCTCATTTTTCGTGTTCTTTCTGAAATTATTTAATTCATTCTAAAGTTAGAATAGAGTACATTTTGTGAATTTTAAATTAAACCGACGTTAATTGGTTTTTAACTAGTTTGTACTCCATTCTATAATGATCTGGAATTTAATAAGTTAAGTTAGTTTGCAGTCAAATAGGATTGAAATTAGCGATTGGAGCACCTCCAAGAATTGGATTTTGGATATGTTTTACTTCTTTAAAAAGATGAGAATTAATTGGACACTTGTCGAAGCATAAAATAAATTATTCTAATTCCAATTTATGTATTTATTGTCGGAGGTTAAGTTATGCTCCCGTTTAATGGATAAAGAGGTTAACAAAATAAGAAAAAAATTAATGGTGAAGCTTCCTTCTAATATAAATTTAATCAGGTATCGCGGTCTTCTTCAGCATACTGATAATAAATATATATTGAGAAACCTTGAAAATTATGCGATCTTTAATTTTAGATATTTTGAAATTCTTCATAAAATAAGACAGCAGCATCGGCTGCCAGGTGGAAGTCTTCTGCCTGGCGCTATAGGGATTCTCACTAGTTGCACGACCTCTGGTGTCGTGTTTTGCTTCGGGGTTGCAGGCGGTGTTGAGGTATTTGGCTCTGGCATGATTTATAATTGTTTTGATGTTCAGTTAGTTTATTTTCAAATATAGATTTGAAAATTAGAAAATAAAGGTGGGATCTAAAAATTACATTATTAACCTTTTAAGCATTTACATTTTATAGTCGAAAATGGGGAATGAACTTTGACCATGAATGTCATGGAGAAAAATTTTACACCAAGTTTCCTAAACCATGGTGTTCATGTCATATTTTTTACACATCGAAAGACCAAAACCATGTAGTCATGGTCGCAAAAATTTGCATTGCAGGACCAATACCATCAAAGTCATGGCGATTGTTTTTGCAAGAAAATACTTTGACCATGACATACATGGAAGTCGAAAATAATAATTTCCACAGCTTTTTAGCCCGAGTCAGGGCTTATGGAACCGTCATGTCCGTCCGTCCGTCCGTCCGTAAACATGATAACTCTCTTTAAACACAAGCTACCAACTTGAAATTTTTACCATGTGCATATTGGACAAAGTTAGGAATCGAGTTCGAAGATGGGCGAAATCGGTTAACTGGTTACCCGGTGGGGGTCATCTGAGTGGGTGGGGTCTTATGCACCAAAATTTCAAAATTGTCGTAGAAAGCTGAAATTTGGCACAGAGGTTGCTAATGGCTCCTAATAGATAAAACCTACAGTGCAGACTCCATATAGCCCGAGTCAGGGACATAGTCTCTGACTCAATAAGTCAGAGCCCGCTTCTAAATTTTTTTCCGAATTGACCAACATAATATCACCAACTTCCGTGTTGTGGATGGTTAAAAGTTTGTTAGATAGTTTCTATTATTTGGTCCCAAATTTTTGAGCAAGTTACAGATCATGTGCCTTGACCACCATGACCAGTGGGCTTCTTTAACATCCTGAAGCTCTAAGCTGTATGTATGTGCTATCCAGCAGTGGTTTTCAGCCTCCATATCAAATTTCAGCTCGATATAATGATTTTGAAAAATCAGTATGGGTCACCCCATAGGGTCACTCTGGTTGCACTTTACTCACTTTTAACTTCATATTCTTTAATTAGAAGCCATTAAGTACCATTGTGCCGGATTTCATCTTTTTAAAGTAATTTCTAAAAATCAGTATGGGTCACCCCATAGGGTCCCTCAAGATTAAAATTTTTCCAACCTGAAGTTATTTTTTTCTATTAGGAGCCATTAGCAACCTCTGTATCAAATTTCAGCTCTCTACAACAATTTTGAAATTTTGGTGCAAAATACCCTACCCACTTATATGACCCCCACCGGTTCAAAACTTTTCTGATCGAACCCATCTTCTAACTCGGTCGTTGCATTGCCCAGATACATGTCTGCACCAAATTTGGTCAAAATTGGTTAACTCGTTCGACAGTTCGACTGACATGACAATTACATAAGCCCTGGTTCGGGCTAAAAATCACGACTCGAGAAAAAGTCAGTCTTTGGATGTAATCCGAATATTTTAACGTTGCGATGTGATTAAAAGTCGACAATAATTACTTAATAAATTTCGTAAAAAATTGATATATGTAACTAAGGACGGATCTTTTTAATTGTTGTGTTTTCGTCCGGCACTTCGTGTAAAATTGTTCGCCATGACATACATGGTCAAAATGCTTAAAAGGTTAAATTAGTTAATATTGGCTGTTCAATTAGAGACCATTAAATGGAATTTAAGCAAAACCCCAATGGGACAACTACCAGAAAAGTCCGATTTATATACCTTTAGCTGACTTTCTGCTTTGCTGACCAAGATTTTTCGATATTTTTCGATAATCCGGATGACGTACAGGAGAGACTGGATGGTTGTAGAAATTATTCTAAAAAATTAGAGATTATTGTGATCTGTACCTGATTTATGTATAATGAAAGTTACTGAACTTTGCAATAAATCTCGCTTGAATAACAGAACAATTTATTTCAAGTACTAAATGTGCTGGTTGACTTAACACTTATTAAATCAGTTCTCTTATCACCACAATTTATTTAATTGATGTTTGATACAAATAATTGATAACGATAAATTGCAATAATAACGAGAATGGAATGTTCTAGTATTGAGGAGGTTAATCGGACGTACATAATTTTGAGGGCAAGCTAAATACAAAATCAATTAATAATGAATGCGATAAGATTAGCAGATTGTTATGCAATTAATCAATTAATTTGTTACTAAATCTTAATGTTAAAATGAAGGGTGGAGGATAAACTATAACTTTCCCCTACAAAATATCAGGATAAATTATTCTTAAGAACGATTTATTGTGAGATTAAATTTAGATACTATAGTTTTTGGAAATTTTCATTTAAATATACAGATTTATAGATCTAATATCCGTAAGTATTTATATTGTACATGAGTTAAATTAATTTTGCTCATACTTATAGTTACACATTTTACACGCTCAATAATTTTTTGACAATATTGTTACCGGCTGTAGGTACTATGTAATTCTACCGCTTCGGTAATAATTTTTCACCGAAGGGCAGCATATACACAGGCTAAATCCCGCTCAGCCCCCACTGTCTCCGCTCGGGTCAAAAAAATCGGAGGCAAGTTGTTTCCCACAGAAGACAATTTGGTACTATTATGTTACCACGCGGTAGAATTGCATAGTACCTACAGTCGGTAACAATATTGTCAAAAAATTATTTAGAGTGTAATTTGATGAACACAGGAAACGTGTGGCAATTTTAATCGCCCAGTTTTTATACTTGAGATTCTCATCGTTCGGATAACCCACTTTGATTCTCCTTATCTGTGCAAATTGTTGGGTATCATTGTGGAAAATTTGCCATAATTGGCTTGATATAATCCCTTGGAATAAGTTATTTGGAAGGTGTGCAGCTATGGAAATATAGATACAAAATTTAAAATTAAATCATACACATGAGTAATTTCAACATATTATGAATTACACAAAACAATAGAATAAAAATACTGATCACTGTTATCAATTGGTAACAAAATACATTTTTTTTCTAAAGAGTCACTAGAAATATAACAATCCGAACCCAAATGAGGAACAAAGGAAATTCCAAGTTTTCTACTTGAACAAGGATAGAGTTTAACATCTTGAGGAGTTTTAAAGTAAAACCCTTTAAAATTTCCTGACTGTTGTTTACCGTCAGACAAAAGACAAATTCGGTTATCTTTTGTCATAAAACAGCGGTCAGCAATTCTTGACCCCACAGACCAACGTGGGCTAGGTTTCGGAATTGTTTGAGACAGAAATTGCTCTGATTCTCCTACTCGTTTGACAACTTGACTAAGGTGCTTTGATTTGGATCGTAACATGCTTTTAAGGGGCTGCATGAAATTTTCAAATTGAAAAGCACTAAAATTATCCAAAGGTCCATGCAGTTTGACCTCATCTGCCAAATGTAGTAAACTGTGTGTGTTGTACACCAAAAATTCAGCATAATACAGTTTAGGAAGGAGTTGTACAAACTTATTAATTAGTTCTTTTGCATATGAAACCCACTCTGGCTTATCCGAACAATTCGATACTAATATGTGCATGGCTGCATGGAAAAGCAAAAAATGTTCATACTTGTCTGTTGGAAGTACTTTTTTAAGCACGACAGGCCCTACGTATAGTAAAAATAGTCTAAACTCTGTGGCCTTCCAGTGTTTCAGTTCATAAATACTGCGACATTTTCTAGAAAATTCTGAAGGAATTCTGCATCTCAATCTCATTAATTGTTTTGTGACTAATTGCTTTTGAAGACTTGAAAATTTATGGGGTTTTTTTCCTTCAGTCCAAACAAGTAAAAGTTTCTTCATAGTCCCGAGCAAACACAAATGCATATAATCGAGAGGTATCTGGGAAATCATACCAAGGTTTAATAATTCCAAAGGGGAAGGGGGACCCTGCTTATGATGGCTTTCATACCATCGTTCTTTGAACGACTCGTCCGTGTAAGAATCACAAGCTGGCTTGATTGGATAAAGAATTCTGGAATATTTATAAGTTCCTCGACGATAGCATCGTTCACATCCGTAGTAGCCATTATGTCCGTTTATACGTTTAATAAAGCTACGGGCTGGTGCACCGCGTCCTGACCGAATAATTTACACCACGGGCACAAATTCCTTGGTGCTCTAAATCAACCATGTCTCGTACAAATGGACCTAAATAAGATTCTAGATTTTGTGGTTTCTGAGATCCGTAAAAAAGACTTATAATAAATACCCTACGAAGTAAATCCTGATCTACTGTTCCCAAAATGGGCCAAAATTGTTTGTTGGAGCTTTTTGAGATTGGCAAGCCATCTATTCCAATTTTAAGGCTTAAAAGATTAGGCACGTTTTGAAGTTGGGGCAAAGGAGAATGCGCAGAAAGCCTGATTCTATTATTCTCAATTGCTTTTAAAATATGGCTGCGAATACCAAAATGATAAAAGGAACCTCCTTCTATTTCTTGGATTTTTATCTTCCTTTTCGTTTTTAGCAGAGTTTGAGGATCTTTTGGGAATCCTTCATGTGGAAGCCAATTTCTTACTAAACTTAAAAGACTTTTCAAAGCGTTATGATTGATATTGAATTGGGTAGCCCAGTGGCCTAACTGAACTAATTTATTGGGTGTACCACTCAATTCATCAACTACTTTTGGCATGTTGTGATTTTCTACATATATAGTTAGCTGGACTGGGCTTTGGAAATTGCAATCACCATTTAAAATGAAATCTTCCGCTGAATCACATTCCAGATTTGCAGGTTGGATCGATGCATTTAGTTCAGTTCCCCGGATTCTCTTCAGCGCCGCCTGCACCCGCTTCTCCACTCGTCGCTTCTGTGTCCGGCGCGGTGTTAATTTCATTTTTCTTTTTTCGGGATTTGTCTCGTTCGGCTGACTGACGTAGCCAAGCTCCAATGTGATTGTTTATTTTAGAATCAGTAGCGTCGTCGTCGTCCTCGTTCCCACGTTTGACGGAATCTGAAAAATGGTAAGCAGAGTGATGGAGTCAGTAACACTAAAATGAAAAATGTAAATTACAAATGGAATTTAAAATATGAAAACACAAACCTCGGATTAATTTGGCAATCAATTTGTCTCCGAATGAGATTTTCCCGCTTTTGTTGGTTAAGCGAAGAGTAAGAGCAAGTTCATGAGATATCATCCACTGCAGCGTATTGTATACGCACTTTGTCACAGTTGCTCCTCCAATTTTTGATAAAACGGACACCTAAATTGTGTAGTCACATGAGTATTATGCTACAATTAGTGTTAATGTAAATAGAGTTTTTACCTCGTGGTTGTAGTTGGTCGGATCCCGCAACCAAACTTCCACTGATATTAGCTCGCCTTCGTCTTTGATTGGCCAACTCCAAGTATTTTTAGCGGAACAGGCTGCTCCTTGCTGTGAGTTTAGAGAATTCAGTACAATTTTCTCCAATTGGTGAATACGTTCAAGTAAAAGTTCTTGGTTTCGCAGAGATTCAACTTGAAATTCTAAAATGAGAATCATCATCAAATACTGCCATTAGTTTACTATAAATACGCAAATTACTTACTTCGAAATTCATTCAGTAATTCTGTGAGTCGTGGATCCGGTTCCACCTGCAGACAGTGGTACTCAAGATTGGTGGTGACCGAATTATTTTCTGCATTGGTGTCCACAAGATGATCAATTCCGGGATTAATTTCATCAACAGAAGGGTTAATTTCAGTTTGTACTAGTTTAAAAAACATATTTAATTCATATTTATTACATGCGAGTTTTTTATTCAAATGTTTGTGGTCATACCCCCAAATATTGGCTGAGCGGGGGCCAATGGCGCTGCGGCAATATTGAAATTTGTGGACGACGATCGCCCACGTTTAACTCCCTCTGCGTCGCTGGAGTCAATTGGCTTATTTTCCAGTAGCCTTTTTAGTTTCGCCACAGTTTCCTTCGAAAGTTTCTGCGGGAGTGTTAAAATAACTTTATAGACCTTTCTTGAACTCGCCAAAGCATTGCAACTGAATCTTGAAAATTGAAGAATTAAGTTGGGATAACTTACTCGAAGTTTTGACGCAAGTCACTTCCAGATTAGTCCACCCGTCCTTTGGAAGAGAATCTTTATTTGATTGTAGCTTATAAAAATCCTTTGGCGGTGGATCAGGATAGGGACACAAATCAATTCCGCCAATGCTAGAAATCCAATTGGTGGGGACTACACTTAGACCCAAATCAATCTTGAATTCAACCACGGTAAAAATTTTCTTATTAATTGACATTGCAGAAATTGATTGGACGACGGGAGGAAGTAGAGAGAAAACGCATTGCTGTTCAGTTGGCACAAGCCAGACGAGTGATGTGGGTATCGTGTTACAAATGGCGGTTGGTTCGCAAATCTGAGGGTGCAAATGAGACACAGATTGGGCACTCTGTGATCTGTGTTACACACTGAAAGTTTATCTGTACAAAATTTGCACCAATTGGACAAATGCAATTAGACAGACTCTGGTAAAATAACATTGACACTAAATGTTTAACTATTTGATACACGTATATCTGTGTTCGATTGGTAGTCCGTGTTGGGAGCAGATACGTTACAGATTCCGAGCAGATCTTTTTTTGATGTCATTTGGGTAAAAGTTGCCTACACTATGGTTACAGACTAGCTGTTGCGGTGAAATGTGCACAAAATCTGCAAAAACTTTCAGTCGGATCTGCAGAAGATCTGCATAGAGGCTCGTCGGGAACTTTATCAGTTCTCAGTGTTTCGGGTGCAAGAAACCATCTGCAAGAAACCACTGCAAGAAAGTGGGTATTTTACCCACTTTCAAAGGTGCAAGAAACGCTTTCCGCCCGCTATCGTTAATAGGACTGGTCGCGAAATTGCGTTCAATTTTTTGCACTTTCTTGCGTTTCTCACAGAACTGGTTTCTTGCATTTCCTGCTTTGCAGTGCAAGAAATGTATTG